GCCACATCCTATTTTGGCTATGCAGGGGGCTTTGAAAACATGCACAGACAGCTTCTGCGCTTTGTCATCCGTATTTAAACAAGAGCTCCCCTGTATTCTCCTATCTAGCCATCAATGAAGATCCTGAGGAAGAGGAGGAAGATGATGACCAGGACTACAGCTTTCCTATATCTTCCATTCTAGAGTGGTAAAATTTCCATCCCTTTTGAAACAGCCATTGGGCAAGAATTACAATGTCCATACTGTACATAAGTGTATGCTTATTTATTTGGGGAAGAAAGAAGTATACATATAGTTGAATCTTGTAGGCATTTATTTATACTGTGTCATGTTTTATAATTTATACATTAAAGAAGTCTGATTGACTGTACACCTTTTTTTGAAGAAGAAATGTAATCGTTATGGGATGAGCTGTGTTATTTATTGTGAGGTCTCTTGCTTGTAAAGTAAAGCTTTTTTCTTGTAAACTATAAATCCATTCCTTAGAGCCTAACCCTCCTCCCCAATTACAATTTTCAGCTCCTTATTTCTGCCAATGTTAACTCTTTTCCATTTTAACAAAACTTTGCATGACAGTTTCAGTTACATTTTCTATTTATTGTGTTTCCTTCTTGCCAATTCTGTATATAAATACATGATCCCTCGGATATTTGTTTACAAGGAATCTTGACTGACCAAAAGGCACTGTAAACTGAATTAAGTATATATTTGAGATGGAAAGAGAAAAAGCTTTAACAGAACCTCTTTCCCTGCCTATATTCTCTGATTGTATCATGTAGTAATAGAATCTCAAAATCCTGAACGTTTATATTGTACTATGAGAATTCAAACCCAAAGATCGGATTATGAAGGGTTTTTTAGTTGCTATGTGGCTAAATGTAAAGAAAGCATTATTTTCTTTTTTTAAGAAAAAGAAGAAAAATGAAAATACATTGTCATGAGCATCAATGTTTTATTAGGTCTGTCCTTGCAGATGGTCCTGCGTTCCATTTTTTTAAACATTCTTTTTGTTTCACATTCAAATGTTAACAGAATATTATATCAAAACTTTATCAGTTCAAGTTTCTTGCTTTTCATAGTACTTTCTTTTTCTGAGGCAATTTTATATTTTCAAACATGACAAGTTAAATATAAATTCATTTAAATATATAGTTTTGTACTTTTCTACCATGTAAATGTGCAATGTATATAAAAGTTATAATGTGTATTTGTAAATAATTATGAGTGAAAAAAAATAAAAAAATGGATATCCTTTCCCCCAAACCTGTATATATTGACTTCAATTATTGCTTGGGTTAAGAAGGTTGCCAAGAATGGGTTTTTAAATGTGGGGAGGGTGATTAATGAAGAGGGTTTTTAGTATTTGTAAAAAGTTATTCTAGGTTTTGTTCTGAAGGTCCATAATGCAATGTGTCTTTGCCAAATAGTTAATATCTAAATAGAAAACCACCAAATAAAATCTTTTGGAGTGCTTCTATTGTGGAAAAAGGGTAATATAAATGTAATAGTTAAATTAATAAGTTGACATAGCTTTTGCTTGGGTATAAAACATGCAAAGTGAATGCTAGATAGGTTCCTTCAGCATTAGTTTGGACTCCATTGGAAAATATTCCCATTCTAGGTGACTAAATGAGAATTATATAGTACAACGAAGGAAACAAAGATTTTATATGCCAAAAAACTGAATTTGTAGTTAGTAGTCTGGGAATGAGGTAAAAAAATGTAGGTTCAATAATTTTTAATCTATCTTCATTACTCAATCTTGATGAAAATTCTACCCTATGGCATTGTAAAATATTTCATTCTAATGTAAAGGTATTTTTACAGTCTAGAGGACTCTAGCACAGTTTATTATGTTTTCACTATCTCATTTTGAAACTAATGAATATACTATACTCAAGTTGGATGTTCATTTAGGACTAGAAAAAAATCAAGGTTCAAAATCCAAACCACAGAGGAATGTTGTGAGGATACAATCAAAGAGGACAGAATTATGTATATTTCCCTGTTTCTTAGAGGAAGGAAAATACTGTATATAAAGCTAATAAAACAACATTATAATATTAGCATTATTTGTGTTTCATTATACCTTCAAAATTTCACTGCAATTTTAAACTTCCTTCAAAGACATAGAACTTATCTCTGTTTCATAAAATCATGAGATTCTATAGTGAGGTATTTTGCCAAGATAATAAAGTTTTTCTCTGACGGACACTGGAATCTTGAAATTGTAATCATACATTTAAGCCTTTTTATTGAGGAATTGCTCTTGTACATTCCTTACACATAGCAATTCTATGAAAATCTAAAATAATAACTTAATTTCATTAGTATTGACGGCCTACAGATGAAAGTATTAGTTAATATTACTGAAAAGCATATGCTTGAGATGGTGTTAATTTTTATATCTTATATTTAATGTATATCTCATTCAAATGCACAAGCCATCAGTACATCTTCATCATCATCATTTTACCCATTGTCTATCCACTGCAGGATGAAGGCCTCTTCTGCTTGTTTCTAACCAATATGGTCCTGAGTTGTGGTTTTTTTTTTTTTTTTTGCCAATTGGGATGGCAATAATTGTTGATGTCAGTACATCTTACAATAATTAAATACATCTAACTATATAAATTAGTCCATTCAATTTGCACCTTCTTTTTTCTAGTGTGAACTAATTATTTTACAAATAATTGTAAACAGATTTCTATAAAAAACATACTGTGGTCGTGGATAAGAAACAGAAAAGATCCTGTTGAATCATAGTAACAGTCCCTGTAATCCCAGCTACAACCAACTGAATATCTCTAGGAAACCCATAAAGAAAAATAAAAGTTATTAATTTTTTCCACTACTGATCTCCAGGAAGTGATATTCATAGGCAAGCAGTCTCTGAAATCTGAAGACTATATACAGTATACTATAGTCAGTTCCATTTGGCTTTTTCAAAGCAACTAAGCTTGTGATAATCATTATATCCATTATAGAATTCCTCATGTGTGATATGATACAAATTCTAGCAGATTCATTCAGAGATGGGTTACTTATGGTTTGCCCATCCTTTTGCAATTCTTCAAGAATTTTCTGACACCGTTTTTATTGGCCACTTCTTTATTAGCCATCCTGCCACTTCTCCTTTACTATCAGAGAGCTTGAAAGCAGATTATATGTTTGAGCACATTTTCTTTTTTAGAACCAATGAAGGATGCTATTGGTGGTATTGCTTTGCAGATCAGACTGCACCTATCACTGGCTACTCACACATCTGAAAGTAGCCTCATGGGAAGAACTTCCTTACGATATCCTCCTGGGAGGTTTTTAAAACTGGAGGTTTTTAAGAAGAGATTGGAGAACCATTTGTCTGAAAAAGTATAGGGTTTCCTGCTTGAGCAGGGGATTGGACTAGAAGACCTTCAAGGTCTCTTCCAACTCTGTTATTCCGTTGGTATTTAGCTGAAGACAGGATGGATCCAAAGAAAGTCAAGATATACACATGTACCTCTTAGTCACCTGATAACTAAAAATAATGCAAGGCTGTCACACTCTAGGAAACACTTTCAAATTACACGAGGATGGTAGAAAAAATGCAAAACAATGATCTAAATTGAAGGAATGCTAGTGTGGATTCTATAAGCTATAGACAACTAAAGTCTCCCTTCATTGAATGTTCTCTTCCCCCTTACTCACTCAGTCATTCTGTCTTCCTCTTTCTCTCAGCCTTGCCTAGATCGCTGGATTCTGGTGTGGCTAAAAGGAAAAAATCCATTCTGCATGCTGCTCTGACTTCCTTCAACAAAAGAAGAAAAAATAAAAACAAGAACAAGAACAAGGATTTAAACTATTAAGAGAATTAAGCCCTTGGCTCCAAGGATCTTTTTGTTTACCAAGAGATGCTCTGTTGCAGGCTTCTCCAAGCTTATGCCCAGTAATGTGATGAATTACAATTCCCCGACTCCCAAATGTATTTGACTACATATGACCATGTTGAGTAGCCATTTGGGGAGTTGTAATCCAACACATCTGGAGAGTATCAAGTAGGGAAAACTGATTCTTTTCCCAGAAAGGATGTGAGGAAAAGATGAAGCTGCAACTTTTGTAAGATTCTTTGCAGACAAAATAATTTGTATTTGCTCTGTTTAGATGCCACTGGGACCAAGTCTAACTCCAACCAGGGCACTATCTTATAATGTTAATTGGATTTCATTTAATCTTAGGAAAGTGAATAAGTAAGCCGGGTTCTCTTCAGGGTATGAGCTCAGCCACTCATGCCCCATTTGGGTCCTTTGGACAACAAGCGTATATGTGGCTGCTTTCAGAAGATCAATGCTTCTTTGAGAAAAACAAATACCAACTGCCTTAAAGAAGGAAAAGTTGTGTTCTCTCCTGCCATGGTCACAAGGGCACAGTCTCTCAGTCCAGATCCTTTATATAACTTCTGCCTGTCTCCAATCTTCAACTTTGGGGAAATATTTTGGATGCTATTGAGGGGTATCAGAGGATATTAGATGAAGTGAGTCTGGGACCAAAGCTACACTGGTTGTTCTGATGGATTAATTTTGTTGAGACCTGAAAGGAGGGAGTATGTCCCTTTTGGTCTTATTCATTATTATTGACCTTAATATATATCTGGACTCCCTGTAAGGTTTGGGGAATGAAATACTTTTTTTTTACAGTGAATCTTTTCCTTCCTGACTATGCAATTCCAGGCATCCTGTGATAATGTTACAATATTTAACATATACATGATACTTCTGAGAGAGGTCATTTATGCCTCTATTATATCACCTTTCCAAGACCAATTTGAGATGTAATAGAGGTAATTTCTTGCAAGCTGTGATGCAAATAAAATGAAACAAGTTAAATCCCAAACAAGTTTGGATTGTTCTTATGAAAACATTAGAGTTCCTGTTTGGTTCCAATGATGGTTCTGCTTCATCTGAAATAGCAACTCTTGAACTGGATGTTCTGCTGGACTTACAGATCCTGCTATTTGTCCCTCTTTCTCCAAGATTTCATAATCAATGGCCTGATGCCTCTCTTAAGAGATAAAGCTGAAGTGTTATCTAGTCCTTATCTGCCATGTTTTGAAAACCTTCTTTCCTCTCTTATAAATACCTTTATATCAATTTGAATAATTTGATAATTTTAGATTTATAATTGCCTATAATCTATGGAGTAAGTAATATGCAAGCATAAATAGTAAATTTCAGACATATGCACACATATTCACATACGTGTGTTTATATCCTAAAGCTCTGTAGAGTAGAAATATCTAATACTTAACATTAATGGCAATTAATGTTTCATTCATTCACTCACCCAATAATCTACCATCAATAAGAAATCCCTCAGCTTCTGCTGCTTGGCAGATGGAACACAATTGATAAAAGCTCTGATACAAGCTCTACCCTTTTCAATGTACAAACAATGTTGTCCCATGAACATCAGAAATAGGGCTGCATCACGGCACTACATCTGTCCTCTTGCTGATTTTGATCCCAACTGCATGGACTATTGAAATAAAACACTAATAATGCTTCTGCACTTCATTCAGCCCCAACATAGCTGATAGTCAGCTGCTGAGGTTGTATATTGGCCATTGATCTGAGACTGAATGGTATATAATGTATCTCTCTTGTAATCAATCAGGTGTGAAGTTGAGGAGGGGAGCTCTTTATCACTAATATGGATTAAATTTATCATACAGTTTTTCACATGGTGTGTCTCATATTTCTTTGAAAAAGGATTGAATACAGATGGCAAAGTGAGTAGAGTCATTTCAATGCATAAGTGAGACCATGGTTCTTTAATGTCTTTCAAGATTTGGAGTTTGTTTGCTTTTTAATTCCATTTTAGTATTTTACCCAGTTTCAGCATTTTCTGTCTTAATTTAGTGGGAATGATGTTACTTATTTGCAGCAATCATGCCATTAAAATTCAGCATTATGGTCAGACAGGATCTGGGGAGAAGCAAAAACATTTTGCAAATAAGTAATATTTGAATAAGTAATATTACAATTTGAATTCACAGTTACCTTCAAACCCAATGGGTTGACTAGTAAAATTGAGTAACCTTGAAAATCTGATTAATAAAATCTGATTAAGCATTCCATAATCACTGTAGCAGCTAAATTATATAGCAATTGGTAGGTGAAGCTGTGGAGTTTGGAATGGTTGAGTCCCATTATGAGATCAAGTCTGCCACATGTTTAAAGAGATACCACTCTGTTTCGGAAATGCAAGGAATGTGTGAGACACTTATTCCTACGGGAGACTAGCTGAATGCATAAACAAGGCAGATTAAAGGAGGTAACAAAGCTGCAGATGAATTTAATATGAGGTGTCCATGCTAAAATGTATAAATGTGTTAATCTGCCAACTGTTCCATGTTGCATCCATATTCATACAGTAATTGCATGAATTTTGCTGGGAAAAACTAAAGAGTATATTGTGCTTTTAGATACATTTTTATACGTTCTACAATCATCTGTAACTTCAAAAAAAATCACAGCATGGTATTTAAAGATACTTACGTGAATATTGAAATAGGTAGCATGAAATATACCAACATGAAAGCTCCTAGCGTTACAAAATATTGTGCAGCTATTCCATCTGGACTTTTTTCTGATGATAACAACAGAGACAGAGGAAGCAGTGTTAAAAAAAATAGGATTAAAAATGAAAAATAAATTCCTTGATGACAAAATCCCAAGAAACTTGTGTCATTGTACACATTAAAATCCAGTCACAATAAGATCCTTGGCCCAAGCCAATTGACTCAATAACCAAAGCCAGAATAAAAAAAAAATATTATAGATTGCAGACTTTATTGTATACAGTAGGTCTGTGCAGACTGACTGAGGTTTATCTGAATGACAGTACTTTTTTTGTTGAGGGGAATAGAAAATGCAATTCTCTTCAAGGTGCTTTGTGTTATTGAATCCCCACCAATCAGTTAGTCAGACTAAATGGAGATTGGTGTAGAGAGAGAGAAAGAGCGCCTGGCCAAAGTCATCCGGTCAGCTTCCATGCCTGAGCCTGAATTCCAGTATAAAATGGTCTTCTCTCTAGTCCTAGTCTAACATGATAATCATAAACTCCTACATTTTACACCAGTATCTATTATTTTTATTCAATGTTTTGTACATAACATGTTTTATAATATTTCATTTAGGGGGGATGTGCATAATGATTTTTAAAGAAACCTATTTTATTTTATGCATATTGCAAATTATGTTATTTTAATACATTTTGTGCACAGTATTTTTGTCATACTTTTGAGTATTGTGTTCATATATAATTTAAAGTAAATAGAATCTAATCCCTTGGATGTAGATATTATTAAAAAAAAACATGAGTTAGCCCTTAGTGCAGAAAACACTGTGTTGTTCTTTACTGTAGAATTTCTAACCTTAAAATCCCTGTTACAAAGCAACATTACCTCTATAAACCTCATGATGACATAAGCTAGCATAAACTTTTCTTTTCCAGTTTGGTGGCCTTCAGGTGTTTTTCAACATAAGTCCCAGCAGTTCTAAGGATGCAACTGGAAGGCCCCAGGTTCAGGAACTTTGATCTACACAACTTGTATAGAAGAAATGGAGAAATATTTTGCTTTGAAATAGTCAGTTCAAAGTTGAACATTGTACATATAGAGTTATATATCAATGAGCAGACTTTGGTGCATGGTCCCTCACAATACTCAAAATCAACTGCAAAGGATCAGTGGGACTATCCATTACTGATGTTATTATTATTAATAGTACAATTCATTAAAAGAGTATTTCTTAAATTATTTTTATATAATAAATGTTTGGGTTGGATAAACAATCTAAAACTTCACCAATACGGTCAATAAGCTGAAGAGTTTGGGGGCTCCTACATTAAAAGGATTATTTAAGTGACTGTCAAGATTTTGTCATTATAATAAAAATATCTGCCTTAAGCATTAGCAATACTGTACCATTTTTATATTAGCTGGAATACTTTGGGCAACATTTGGCCCAATCTAAGCTGGGCCTTTCGGTCTTAGCCAGATTTATAACTGAGATGATTTGGGTAGTTTTGTTTTGCTTTCCTTAAATTAACAGAAAAATTACCCTTGTTCTGATACTGCAGTCTACCACTACCACCCTGAAAGTCCTGGATTAACGTGAAGTGAGTTTGAGATTGCTTACTCATCTCCAAAGCAAACTGAAACAAGTTATATACAAAACCTAGCCTTAAAAAGAATTGTTTATGTTTAAAACTAGATTTTGTGCTCCTATTTTTTGATCTTCACTTCTGCTTGATCCTTGATGCTGTAGATACGCCAAGTATCTTGAGATCAGGGAACAAGAAGTAAAAAAAAGGCAAGTGTTGTTTAAGTGTTGTTTTTACTTATTTTATATGACTAATGTTCACACTAATGTTCCTGGGAAATCTATACCTTTTATTTTGGAAAGCTCTGCCTGAAAAGATTTCAGCTCCCAAGAGACTGATATGTAGATGAGACATTAAGGAAGATTATAATACCCTGTTATTACCTCCCCACATGCTACTAACCAGCACAATAGCCTAAGAATAGTCTTCATTCACCAATTTGGATTGCTATTGAATTCATCCTCTTGTTCCAGGTCTTCACACTGAAAAGCCATCACTGGAGAACCTTGTGAGCATTCAAGGAGAAGGAAATCTGGTGTTAATTGTGATGGAAGATTTTGAATCCAGTGAACTGACAGACAAATCACAATGAAGTTAGGATCCAAATCAGAGAGTTTATTCTCTCCTGCTTCTTTTTAGAAAGTTTAACAAGAAAAGATTATATCCAAGCCAAAGAATACTGTACTAGAAAGCAGAAAATAAAAGCTGCCAATTTTAACACAAGTATTTCTAAATATATAGTAACAAATCATTTAACAGACTAGGAAAGATGAATATTTAATTTAGGAGCAATACATTTCTATATTGCTTCCTTTTCATATTAAATATAATATGCCATTAATTATTAGTAAACAATGTGGCTTTTGTTGATGAAATTGTGAAGTTAATTAACCTTGTTTGTCTTATATGTCATATTTTCAGTAGTAGGAAATCCAATTTAGAATCAAATAAACTCCACCCAGAGTTACCTTGAGGTAAGATGGGTGGCCAATACATGTTACAAATATTTTATAAATATAAATAAATACATAAATAAAATCTAAATAAACATAAAGAAGAAGATTGTCATGCAATTTCTCCCATGATTTATTACTAGTGCCCTTGAGGTAGTGAAGATTATTTTTTTAAAAAACTCAATATTCTATATATACATATAATCATTCTGTTTTATTAAGAACACCATTTTCCATTAAATGATCTTCATTAAAAACATGTCTAAAGCCCAGTAAGGTCAAGATTTTAGCAAGGAGTCAATAAGCTGATAATAATGAAGATCAGAGTTACTAATATAGTAAGAAAATAATAGCTTGGTTGCAGACCCTTAGAAAGAGAGCTGTCTGGCCTCAGGTCAGTCATGTTCTCTCAGCCCTAGGAAGGAGACAATGGCAAACCACTTGTGAAAAACCTTGCCAAAAAAAACTGCAGGGACTTCTCCAGGCAATTTCTGAGAATCAGACATGAATGAATGGAAGAAAAATAATGCTAGTCTAGATTATGACAAAATATTAATGGCAGACTTACACTGATTGGCTTTACATATCCAAATGTGTTTAACCATAAGTACCACTGAGAAGAGAGCTAATTTGGTGTAGTTGTTAAGGCATCAGATTAGAAACTGGGAGACCATGAGTTCTAATCTTCCTTCAGGCACAAATTCAATTGGGTGACCTTGGGCCAGTCACACCCTCTCAGTTCCAGGAAGAAGACTGAAAGGTTCTGGAACAAAGGGAAATTGTTTAGTCTAACTGTTGCTTTCTTGCATTTTATAATCGGCTTTTGCACCAAGGAAATCTCATGCAGGCATGAGAACCATATACATGGATGGGATGTACTGAAGGAGGGAATAAGGGAGTGTACAGGAATGAATGATGTCTTCCTTATGATGTAATGGCTCTGTTGTCTGATTAACAAAGTTTATAAAGCAATGCTACTAAGGTGTGGCACTTCTGGATGTAACTCTGCCAGCGTTCCAGATTGTTGGCCACCCAGCTGCTTAATTTGATCAAATAAAGTGCTGCTTGATCAAGAAGTCTCCACTTGGGTTATACGATTAGATTGATATAATATCTCAAGTTCACATAAGGGACTGGGACCTTACAAGACAATGGTAAACCACTTCTGAAAAACCTTCCCAAGAAAACTACAGGCAGTACTGGCAGTTGCCAGCAGTCAACATTAGACACAAAAATAAATAAGTTCTTTAGATTAACTTACTCTAGGTCATGATACAGTAGCTGGGACTATGGATTTTACAGACCTGACTTATTGGAGAACACCAGTTGAAAAAATGCATATATAAGCTATATAAAGTTCCAGGAAAGTGCCTTGGCGTCTTCAATATTTATTAAATTTTACTTATTGTTTTTGTAGCCTTTTAATACTCTGATTCACAATTGGCCTGTTAGATATGGCTCCATCATAGATGACAATAAATAGCTTGCCAGAATCTGATTCACTCTCATAGGATTTTTGCATTGTCACCAATCCTGTATGTTTTCGCACAAATCATATTTTTCAAGGAAGGAAAGAAAGAAAGAAAGAAAGAAAGAAAGAAAGAAAGAAAGAAAGAAAGAAAGAAAGAAAGAAAGAAAGAAAGGAAGGAAGGACGGACATTGAAAGCACTGTTATCCAGTCAGACAGGTGCTGTCAGATTTACAAATAAAGATAAACTGCATGTACCATTTGTTTCAGCTGTTGAATTGATGGTTGCATGCACATCCCACAACAGGTGTTTTCCAAGTTCAGTGCCCTCTCAGCCTGGCAACGCTACACTGGAGTCGGATGCCGGTCTAAATCTAGCCCTGTTCATCTGTAAAAAGGAACCTTGTTTGTACAAGGGCAGACCTTCCAAGAAAGTCGGTAATTTATTTTCTATTACACTTAGAATGTCACTTTCCCCCCTAAATTCCCCTATTTTTCTATAATTCTTTCTCTATAAGCTGAGGAAAATATGGAAACTGGAGTTAATGTTAATTAAACTTTAAAAAAAATTACTCTTAATTTTGAAAACAAACTCAGCCCATATCCTGTTTTAAATTGAGGCCCTGTAGCTCTGTGTGTAATGAACCCAAAGTAAATCTGACATTTATGCATTACGTTTGCTTTGTTTTGTTTGGTTGTACAATATTGTTTTGTTATCTTGTAAATCCAAATGTTTTCGTGAATTCATTTTGAATACTCAGCCTGCCAAATAAGTCAAAACTATGCATGTTTAATCAGAAATGCAGAATTTATGGCCTGATATCTATCATTATTCTTTATTTCTGCCTTTACTATTATAATCTTAATTCTAGTCCTAGCCTCCGTTATTCTCCAGATCAGGAAAACAAGCTAACGTGCCACTGCCACCTAAATTTATTATTCTCCAAAAGAAATGAATTGAAGTTCAGACTTCTAACAAATTCCATTGACAATGTAGTCCCCTTAATATTCTCAGCAATTATAGACAAATCAAATGTTGTTCTTAGGTACTAGGAAAAATTGAAAGGATGAGTGGAACCATTGCCACATATACAAGGGAATCCACAAAGGGTATATTGTCCAGAGTCTCCTAACCTAAGCCAGCTCAGACCAAGGTACATAAGAACTGTAAATAAAAACAATGTATCTGACAGAAATACTGATATTAAATACTTTCATTATGGCAAAGTTAAGGTGAGCACTTTCATACAACAGTCCATTTTTTATGTAAACAAATTTAATATTTGTTCTTAAGAGACTCTCTTTTTTAATAAATTAATTTCCATCACATAGGGAGCTTTTAGAATTTAAAATTTCATAGTGCAAATCGATGAAAAACATATCTACTTATATCAAGACCTACCTAAGTAAAAATTGTTTTGCATGTAAATAGAAAGATGTCATGTTAGGAACTAGTTTGATATCCTTTGATAGGGAGTTCTCCAGGCTGAATATCGTATCTAAGAAGACTCCCATGTTTTCACACAATGAACATTTGACAGCAAAGCAAAGCATCTTACACATATCTAAAAGGTCAGAAAAAATGGGGTTAGAACATGCAGTATTCTAGGCTCCATGCTCCTAAGCGATATCTGGCATTAGAAATTATAACTAGCATTTTCAATTATGCATGGGAATATGGCTGATTGCCACTCAAATATTTGAATGTATTTTCATCTAGATTGGTGAAGAATTTTTAATTTCATTAAAGTTGAAAATATAAAGAAGCAAAGGATGTGTACAATAATATTTAATTCATCTGCATATTAATGAAGGTAACTTCATGGGTAATTTAAATTACTGTATTAACTAAGTGGCATTTATGCAATACTAAAGTGATGAATTCAATAAAAAGAGCAGCATAATTATTTTGTTTTAAGGATTTTTTTTATAAATTTTGTAAACTAATGGGAATCGATGGGAAGATTACAATAATCTTCGATGTAGTCAGTCTTATTTAAATCTGATTTTCTGATTTGTTACAGAGGTGGTGATCTGTATTTAATGTTTATTTAACTTCTTTTGAAATGTTAATGGGAAGGGAAAAATAATTTGCAATGTAAAGAATATAGGACAGCTATGATAGGAATATGTTTATAAAAAATAATGCATACATGAAAGACACTTTTAAACATAATTAGTATTTCATAACTTCCCCAAAGTTCCATTGATAAAATTTGGAATAGTAATACTAAAAAATAACATTAACACTCTTTAACAAGAATGAACAGAACTTGTTTTATTTTTTTTAACAATCTTTTTTATTAATTTTTTTTCCATCAACATATGTTAATTTTTCCAATCAACAAGTTGTCTGGAATTTGCTAAGCTAATACATGTTCAATTCCTAATCCTTCACTCTATTCTCTAACCAAGAATAAAATAAATTCCAAATTTTATATTAGTCCGTATCTTCTTTGTCTTTCAGCCTCATAGTTAGTCTGTCCATCTCTGCACATTCCAATATTTTCGTGATTATTTCTTCTTCTGATGGCAATCCTTCATTCTTACAGTATTGTGCAAAAATTATTCTCACTGCTGTAGTAATATGTAGAATTAAATATAATTTCTGCTTATCAGTCTTTTCAGACATAATGCCTACTAAAAAAGTAGAACTTGTATTAACTGGAAGGATCATATTAGGCAAATTACTGATGAGCGGACAGAGGAAACCTTGATAAATGGATAATGAAAAATGTGCATTTCTAATTTTATTAAAAGGTGACGTGTTGTGATCTCAATGGTACTGTAATAGGAATTCTTATGTTGCAAATTAAAATGATGGAAATAAATAAGATAAACATAAAATAAGGTAAAGAAATACTGTCTAGGAATGCATAGATTTTACAAAACATAATTTGCAGAAGGTGTTTTCAAGTATGGTAGCTCTCAAAAACAAGAATTTGGTTGTATGGGATAGAGAATTAATGTCACTTTTGCTTTGCCAATGCTTCCTGTTGGGTTAAGAAGTCTTTTCTTCTCTACGACAGAATCCTGCAGCTGAATGCTTGATAATGTCAAAGGGCTATTAATATGCTAAGCCTTTTATTAGCATGGGATACCACCATCCTGTTCTCTCCAATTTTATAGTTTGGCTCCCTGATTTATAATTTGACTTAAAGAAATGTAAGCTTGTATAATTTAAGCTGATATAATTTAAAGTCTAATATATATTAATAAAAATAGAATCAATTTTTGACAAGTTTATCAGAATACTTTTCTGTAGTCAGGTATAAATTCCACTTCACTGGGAAAAAGAAGAATCACATGATTATTAATTAATCCTGAAGTTTGAATCTCTACTTAGGTACTGTAAAATAAAATAAATAAAATCACATTTATATATTGTTGTTTTGGTAATGCATTTATAATATTTATTATATTATCCCACATTTCATTTTATTACATGGCCTGAATGATAATCAAAATTTGGACAATTGGAATTCCTAATTAAGAAGAACACAGGTTGATCTACTTAATTTCTAGGGTTGGAAGCAAATAATGTATTTCACTAGACAATGCCAAAACAGACGATCCAATGGATTTGCTTGGGTTTATTGTGTAGGACAGGACAACAGCACAGAGCTGCAATCATATACTTGTGTCCAAAAGTCAATTCTCCTGAATAGGCCTCTCAGGAAACTGAACATTATCCAAGAACCTTAAGATGTTATTCAGTTATGGCCAGCAAAAATGACTGCCCACCCACCTTGTTTCAAGTTTAGGAGATCACAAGAAAAGATAGCTCCATTGGCAAATAAGCTCCAATGAATTCAATATGTCTCACTTTTCAATAGAAAGTATACATTGTTAGGGGTGTTAAAGGCTGGAATATGAGATGTGAGATATGGCACATTTTCCATTTTAATTTACATCCCTTACTTTCATGATTAACATATGTTACCTAATTGCCTGATAAAAATAAATAAATATAAAATAAAACTGGAGAACACCATATTTATTCAAAAATAGATAGAAAGAAAAACTTTACCAGTACAATATTCTCAAGAAATTTAAGAAATATCCTCACATTTTAAAAAAATAAATAATTGAAAAATAAACTGTCTTCTTTTTAAGTAACTACAATAAGGCACATAAAGAAATGCAGTGTACTGAAACTGCAACAGATCAAAACTGCTACTGCAACATTAACAACAATAATATTTTCAAAGGTCCTGGTAGATCTTGTAGTTTTGGAAATTATGACCAACATTTCTATTACTAAACAAGACAGCATTACATGAATTGCATCCCATTTAACAACCTTTTTGCCACAATTGTTAAGTGAATCATTGCAGTTGTTAAGTGAATCTGGCTTTCCCCCCTGACTTTGTTTGTCGGCAGGTTATAAATGGTGATCACGTGACCCTGGGACACTGCAACTGTCATAAATAAACGCCAGTTGTCAAGCGCCCAAATTTTGATCACATGACCATGGGGATGCTGCAACAGTTGTAAAGTGTAAAACCCAGTCGTGTCACTTTTTTCAGTGCCGGTGTAACTTCAAATGAATAGTTGTAAGGTGAGGAATACCTGTACCAAATAAATACCTGTACCAAAAATAAAAAATATCACAGTATGTGGTTCTTGGTAGATAATTATGGAATGCATCTGAGATTTAAAATGTGGTATTTACCACATAATAAAGAGTATAGTAGAAAATATGAGTGGATATTTCTGTTAGTATGAAACCATAAAAATCCAGTCAAGCACCATATAAAACAATGTCAACATTAGCATTTAACAAATATATTTACCAATTTCAATACAGTACAGAATTTTATTTCATCAGTGTGTATGTGTGTATGTGTGCGTGTAAAACTGAAAATGCATGTAACTGTTCTTATCGTTTGCAAACAAAAGCAGTCCTTTAAATCAGGGGTTCCTAAACTTTTTGCCATCACAGCTCTCTTTTGTGTAATCTTAACATATACAACTCCCCTAAAAATCCCAACTCTAAAATGAACACAAGTGAAGAATGGAAACAATGCAATGAAACTTCAAGAAAGGTGAATTTATTGTAACAATGTAACTAAAGGGTTTTTCACATCTCCCCTGATGGCGTCTAAGGGTGGTACACCTCATAGTTTGGGAAAACCTGCTCTAAGTGGTTATTCCATCCAGCAGGGAAAAATATGGCATAGCAACACTGCAGTGCTGGCAACACCTGACAGGTATAGACTTCATTTTGCATGGAGAAAAGCAGATACAGAAGACAAATTGAAAGAATCAACCTCTTCCCGGGCCAGCTTACAATTTCAAGTTTTTACAATTATTTTGCGATGATGATGATGATACAAGAATAAGTGGAACTGTCCATTAACCGGGAGGAGGGGGGAAGAGCAGAAGAAGGGACTTGAAAGAAATATGTAAGAAGAATATTAGCAATAATGAATCTTCTCTCAAGATTTATCAGGGGTTTTTGAGGTTTGTTAATATGCAAAACAGATTAAGCAAACAATAAAAGGAACTGAATTCATGAAAATATCACAACTATACAGTCTATCTTCCCATGATTCATGTAACCTAAATTCAGTTATTTTCTGGGTTTTCATAACAGACAATTTTTTCTGGGTAAAACAACAAAACTTTTAACATGATTAATACTAATCAAATGTGGCATTTTGTCTGAATACAGTCTAGTTGCCCCTCAGATTCATTGGGCAATTTAGGACAAGTCACTACTTCCCGCTCCAATATACAAAATAGAGCTGTAGTGAAAGTAAAGTGTACATTACCTTGAGTTTCCAAAAATAAAACATTGCATTAATTAATTATCCTCAAAGTTCACTGAAGAATCCAGTAAGAGCCAGATTTCACTAATTGCTGATAAGATCTACTGGGCCTTGAGAGAGGTGAGAATGTTATTTGAACATCTGACAGCAACATGCTGAACTATGGATTGCGTAGGAAGATCACTAATGGTAACTAAGAAACAATTTCATGTAATTTAGAAATAAGAAATAATTTTAGGATACTTTACGCTACATGATTTAATCCAAAACCAAAGGATAGGAACTGGATTTTCGTACTCATTTATGAAAGTATATCCTAACCTAGCTAAAGTTTCACTTACAATTAAAAATAACCTCTCTCAATGTGTTTTTCAAGACCTTCAAGGTATTTAGACTTTGTATAATAGCAAATCAGCAGTAACTGCTTTTTCTCACATACTTTTTGCCTGCTATTGCTTCATTTTTAAAATCATGTATTCATTTGAAATTTGTCTAGAGAATTCTTCAATTAAAATAATTAATAGATGATTCACAATAGACTATTAAATAGCAACAAACATTTATCTGCTCTGTCTACTTGTCTATTTCCTTGTCCATTTTTTTTTAAGCTGGATTGTTTTGAAAAACAAGGATTAGAAAGGGATTTGGGGACATCACAAATACTAACCAATCAGCACTATCCACAGCTGGCTTTTATTGCAAATTTGTAAGGCTTCTTTTCAGAGCTCAAGCCAGGAAGTGAAAGGTAATGCAAGTTTCCAGCTCAAGCCTTAGTGCTCTGAAAATGTTTACATAAGCCTTCACCTTTAGTGAGAATAGGAAATAGTGCCAAACTTAGAGACACCACATTCACACATGGGCATCTCAGGTAACACAGCAAAGAAAGATCTTTGGCTCAACAGCTGTGCTGATGGCCTGTTGACAACCCTTGAGAGGGGGGGAGGGGGAAGGAACAGACTGTTGAAAATATCAGACATTCTAAAGATGGATCAGCAAGAGAGTCTATTTAGCATTGAGCTCTAGTAGACAAGGCACCCGTCAAATGTACAATATGTTGGGGCTTTGCTAAAACAGTTTCAAAAGTCTCTGTTTCTTCCTACCACCAGACTTCAAAAAGAACAACAAAGAGAGATTTTCTTCTCAGCAAAGAACGATTAGCATTTAACATTATTATCTACCAAGTTATGTCTGATTTACGCTGCTTGAGGCACAAGAGCCATTATGAGTAGCTTCTCTTTTATTGTTCACAGGGCTCAACTCTGATTTAGGCACGCCCAAGATATTAAAAAAACAAGATCTGAAAAAAGAATTAGAGCATATGGTTCTAAAAATTCAAAGACAAAAATCTGTTCTACCTCATTTTCTTCAGGGAAAACATAACCGAATATACCCCCACAGAAGAAGCTATAAGAAAGAGGGGGCTTGTTTGTGCAGTGAATGGAAAAGAAAAGAAAAAAAGAGAAGAAAAGAAAATCCGTGCCTTACGTCAAACAATGAGAACAGTCTCTAAATACCGTCAACCACTAAACAAGCCTGAAATAAATTTAACTTTGAAAAA